CGTAAGAAGAAAGAAAGAATGGGCCAAGCTCAAGAAAGTGGAGCGTATTCGTCAATTAGGCGCGTGTGCGAATTCAATGTAACAACGCTGCAAGTGCTAGTAATGATAGCGATAGTGATTATGATTATGATTATGATTATAATTATAATTATGATAGCGATAATGCCTTCATCCGAGATTACGTTGCGCCTCGATTAATACGAACAAAACTAGTCCTAAATACGCGTGAGTGTATATGTAGTTGGATCAAGTACGTTAACTTCAAGACACGCCCTAGATAAATTGCTAAATTATATCGTATTCAGATTTTTGACGTTAATATCAAATAATTCATGGACCAATTAATGTTGCGAATACATGCGAGTAACAATGAAGCATAGGTCAAAATAAAATGTTACTTTGAAAATAGAATATCGTCGATGCAACAAGTGGCATACATACAATACCACCATGTATACAAGCATCTCCGTAGAGAGATAAGTTGATACATACGTGAATCTGCATAATTGCAATCTTAGAAGCGCGATAAAGAACGGAATTTAAGTTGGCTAGCTTAGATGTTACATCGATTTGCACGCGAATCGTTTTGCATTTGATTTTCTTTTTCAATCCCACGCTTTGTAGAACTAAATCACATTGATCGCGTTATATTTCGTTGCATCCAGTAAACATATCGATCTTATCTCAAGTGACTCATTGTCAATTTTTTCAAACCCTGTCGAAATCTCCGGTCTTATTAAGTGCGATAACTAGACTAAAGAGGTAATTCTAATTTGCATATAGTCAGTCTCCGTATATTTTCACGTGTGACATTAGAGAGAGAGGATAGAATTTGAGAAAGACGGAACGTGTTGAATGTAAGCTACGCCTTTTCATGTATACGTCTAATGTGAATGTCTAAGGAAGAAAAAAATAATCCAGAGAGTCGCGCATAGTCCTTGCCCGAAAGCAAGGATTGCTTGTATGCTGCTGCTGCTGCTGCTGCTGCAAGCTTGTCGAGTTGTGCACGTGGGCGCTGCAACCATATAAGGACGCCCATAAGGAGGCTCTCCTGACTTACCAAACCTCACCTTATCTTATCTTACGTCATTTACCGTCACCATCTCTGTATTTTTTCTCTCTTGTATTTTGTATTTTGTATCTTTCTCCTCGTTCGTTTTCCCATGCCACTTCCGAGTCCTTTGTGTCTAGCGATGTTTGAAAATTGAGACCTCTTTTATATGTTTTAATGTTAGGTATGTTTAGAATTTATCCTCGATTTATTAATATAATATTCGCAGGGAAAAAGAAAAGAAAGCGTCGACTGCTGCATAGCTCTCCGCATAGCTCTCTGCATTTAATTTATGAAAAACACGTACATATGTATATATGTATGTATACTTTCTGGATAGTCGAAACGTGAGCTTTCTCGTATGTCAGGCATATTATATTGTACGTGTATTGTTCTCTTCTTCAAGAGTTTCTCTCTCATCAAAAGAATAAAAGATCGAAGTCTCTTCGAGTTGGGCCGCTTCGGTCACTTTGACGTGCTTTGTTTCGTGTATTGTCTTTCTGTTCTTTATGTATGATATTACAGTGAAGTTTTTTTAATTCAATAAACTTTGTGTCACCGTTCTCTTTCTTTTTAGCAGTCATGCTTAGCTGAAATCTATTTATGCAGGAGAAATTTATATGTGTATATGTACATATAGCGAATCGATAGATCCTAGATTATTTTTTATTCCTACATTGGACGTTTTTCACTAGCAACACATTGCATTATTTATTGATTATGAGAATAAAATGTGTATATAACATTTATGGCCACTTTGCCACGCGTTGCTATGAGTTTGTATAATAGTAGATGCAACAACAAAATAGAAATAATTTATATTCGGAAGCAGGAAACATGTCTTTTTTTGTTATATATGTGACTCATAAAGCCGCTTGTCAGAGATCTATCGTGCGATTGCAGAATCGATCGTGATCATATGTATATATCCATTTTTTTATTTCATCAGATGTGTTAATCGCGAATCGCCCACAAAGAATTCGATTTCTTTTCTATTTGCGCATTTGTTTTTTTACGATTGACTGATTGCAGTTTCTATAAAATGACGTTCTTTCTTTTATATAAAGACAAATTATAATTTTGGTCGGTTCCAAATGAATTTAGATTGCTCTGATGAATATTTTTGAAAATGATTTTGTGATTTTCTCATAGCATAGAGAAGTGTAGTATAAAACAGCATCAAAATGGCGTTGGCGAACGCTCGCCTTGCGTGGAAACGAGCATCCGTTGATGTGAAATGACCCGTCTATTCTACTAAAGAAGCCCCATTGTTTCGCAGTTACAACAGTTCTCCTTAATAATTTATTTGAATTTATTTGAATTTATTTGAATTTATTTCATTAAGAAATTCATTATTTCTTCAATCTCACGATTATTTTGACAAGGATATTATTTGTTATTGCATTAATATGCAATGTAAATTATTATTAATAATTTAGCTAAATAGATTTAAAAGTGGTAAAATAAGCGTCTATCAATATCCCTAACTCCTCACGTAGCAACGTGCGCATATATCATCAAGTAAGAAATATTCCTATGAAATGAATATATGTTACATTTATTTTCAATAAATTTGAGAATCGATTGAAACCGACTCGCGGTAGTTCGCCGCGTGCAATCCCTTGATACGTATTTTAAAAAGTTACACGCGAAAGTGACATAATATATCTTTGCGTTCTCTCGTGGTTATCGGATACAGACCTATATCCGCACATGTCATATGTTCTGCTGCATATACATATGCATTTCTACACGTGCGTAAGCGCGCGTGTGTGCGTAGAAAAACGCGGACATATTTGGTAATCTAACCTCAACGACATTTCAAACAGTTGATCCGTTATTAATCATTTGTAGATGTCGCGAGAATCCAACAAACTTTTTGTATTCGATGGTAAAACAGTTCCACCTCCAGTTGCGCTATCTAGTGGTAATTTCAAACTTGAACTCGATCGGTATTTAAGCGTGTTGTGTTCATTTATTTGTTGCACTTTGATGAGGAGAAGGTGACAACGTTTCCATTGTCAACCAACAAGCATACACAAGCTTGTATCGATCAATTGAGAGAAAGGCCAGGATTATTCTTGTAACTCTGTTATGTAGTTCAATTTGCTTTGCTCACTTGGTGAACGGCTGGAGATTTTTACATTGTAAGTACTGACACTGACGAACGATGGCGTTGCCAGTTCCTTCCGTCAATTTGTTTTGAATTTTGCGCTCCTATTGTGCTAACTCTTTCTTTAATCTCCTTTATTCAATTTATTTTATTTCTCATCGTGATTCATAAACAATTGATTTGTGATTGCAAATGAGAGAAAGATTTTGCTATCTTCCAAGGTGAATTGATTGTTGCGAAAAGTCGGTTAGAAAAATGGTCCATTAAAATAACGCGTTGAAATCTACTGCACTTACAAAGACTGAAAAAGCAAGCGGCGGTCTTGCGTCACTAATTGAATTCAATTTCAGTGCAGTTAAATTCACTGCACCGTCAGCTATTTTAAGAAATCATTTACCATGTCACCTTTACGATAAAACATGTACTATTTGCAATAAATTAAGAGCAAATCTATTTATTATATGTTCCTATTAAAAAAGTAAAAAGGAAAAGAAGAACCATTGATGACCTCGTGTGCGTAACCAAATTTGACGAGAAAGAAATAAATGTCAAGGCCTTTAAAAAAAGGCACGCGATTCCGAATAAGGAAAGATTTCGATGCCGCTAACGAGACCCGAGAGATTCAGGGACAATCACGTTTGCCTTGCCTTGCCTTGCCTTGCCTTGTCTTGCCTCGACGCCATTTTCTTTCCCAATCTGCAGGAATACGAGTTTGGTAACGAGAACGCGATAAGTTTTAATATTAAACTTGAGGAAAAAGAATAAACCCTTAAAGGTAATGTAAATTGAGAATGACGCTGTGGATATGGTTCGTTTGTTTTTTTTTTTTTTTTTATCACGCGATGGATCTGCGACAGGAAATAACCGCTTAAATTTGATGCTCGATAGACGACCGTAGACCAGCGGGTGGGTAGTGGTGGACCCCCAAACTGATTATTTTAAAACGTGCCTTTTAATCGGGAAGCGAGTAAAATACTTTGATTAAAATTTCAACGGAAACTCGTGTTATTTCTTAGCGAATTTTTCACGAACCATCGGATTGAAGATCAAGGCGGATGTAAATAAAAAAAAAATAGAAAGAAAAAATGGTGCATAACGATCGCCGTATGCTGTGGCTGCGGCACGTAGAAAATCGGCTCGACTTCCGAGTGCAGTGTAAATAAATATGGGTGTATCGAGCACAGTCACGCATCACAAGAGTCGAGTTGTTGTCTATCACGAATACTAGATGAGTTTGTTATTTCGTACCTCATAGATAGCTGCATAGAAAAGCTGCATAGGAAAAGCTGCATAGAAACATCGATGTCGTCGTTGAGACGCTGCAGCAGACTGTACACTGGTAAATGGTAATGGTAAATGAATTTTGAATGTGCTCTCGTATTTAGCCCAGTTGAACTCTATTAACGATGCTTAGCTAATTTCTCTGGCAATTAGGAAGTTTATCGACGACGAATTACATACATCTTTGATGATGACAAAACGAGGACATGTACGTGTTTCTTGATGTTAATCGATTTTCAAATAATTTGTATTAGTATGAACGAGCGTAATTGCTAAAAGAGAAACTTATTCTGTCATTCGAATTAATTAGGATACATCAGAATGAAGTCGATATTGTGATAGAACTTTTTTGAGAACATAATCATAATACATGTATACTACATGTATGTATGAAGGAAAGATTCGATAGCGCGTAACGTGATCGAGTTCATCGAGTCGAATCGAGTTGAGTCGAGTCGAGAAATTGTTTACTTAAGGGATGACGAAGAGGGGACTATAAAAATGACTTCCCGAGCGTCATAATAAATGCGTTTATTAAAACAAGCTCTCTCTCAGAGGATGTTGTCAGTCGATCCAGCGATGTCAGGGCGAACGAGACGAAGTTATGACGCTTCTCTTGCTATTCTCCCGCCACTATTATTTTCGTTGTCGTCGTCGTCGTCGTCGTTGTTTGTGGTGGTGGTGTGGTGGTGGTGTGGTGGTGGTGATGTTCCGCTAATCCGTTCTCTTTTTAAAGACATTGTTTTCCCTGTCGATGGTTTAAATGCTAAGACAAGGTTCACTTGAAAAGAACGTGATCGTGAATGAGATATCAGTGACAAATTATTTACATACAAGTTACATTTCATAGAATTTGCTATACTGCGAATATTTTTACAAAGAATTTCAAAGAATTCGAAGAATTTGGACTGCCAGACTTCTCTTGTTCTTCTCCTCTCATTTGTGTGTGTGGCTTTTTCCAGACATTTTGTCTGGAGCACAGAGAAGGTTTTCTATTTCCGGCTCTATATCGACTCTCAGTGGAGGAAAGTTGGTGAAAAACCTTCTCGTCTCTTCGGTGATATTAATTTACGTCTCTTCTCTCGGTTATTTTGTTCTTTTTTCTATTTTCGAACCACAAAAGTAGAAAGCCGAGAAACGATGCGGCATACCGCAAAAGAAAAAATTCCGTTTTTTTGTTAATTATACAACGAACAAGTAAAAGAATTGATATTATTAACTGTAGGATTTAGTGGTAAACCTATAAAGTGTATTTAAGAAGATACGAGGAAGATTTTTTGTGGATAAAAGAAATTGGTCGATGGTTAGAGACATTGATATTTACGAATGAAAATCGACTCGATAACAGATACTCGGTTATCGGTATACCGGAGTGAGTGACTCTACTAAGGAGTCGGTAACTTCGACACTCGAAACCGACTGGTAGGTAAGATTACACCTTGGGGAAAGGCACAAAGACACAGGGGACCGGTTGCATCGGGACACCAGATAGAGAAGGGTAAATCGGAAAAGACAACGACATTCGATTGTCGTAACTCGTGGAAGAAGGGTCGATTTTCCTTTGATCGAAACATCTTCAGGATTATCGTTTCGTCACAGATGGCGAGATGACAATAACCTCTTTGCGAGGAACTACTTGAAGATCCCAAGACCGAAGCATCCAGGTAGTGTGGTGCATCCAGGACGATGAACCAAATCGTCAGGATGTCGTCCTTGTTTTTTCCTATTTCCATTTAAAAGACGTCGTTTATAAATATGGAGTGGTTGTCGCGTTGTGTTTGTGGCTCCAAAAAAAAGGATCCTGATAAGGAAGAAAACAAACTGAAAGAGACCAATCGGCACAATAGAAAAAAATCCAAAATTTTCGATGACTCTTCATCCTTGCCTCCTCCTCCTCCGCTCGATGTATCGCCGAGTTGCGATAAATCCTTTAACGTGGACGAGGTTATAAAACAGAACCTCAAAGTGAATAATAAAAAGGAGGATGATGAAATATTGTTGGACGAGAGAGAGGACAAATTGGACAAAAAAATCGATCGAGATGAAGTTTCCACGAGTGATGGTGGTCTCCTCTTGGAATTTACTTGGACGACCAACGAGAAGAGATTTAGTCACGAAAATGATTTTAATAGATTGATCGAAAATGAAGACTCGGTATATCAAGATTCAAGTAACGAGGAGGGTGAGGAGGAGGGTGAGGAAGAGGATCATCGATACAGCGAGGATTCTTTGAGCAAGGATTCCTCGAAAGATTATCGATCGGTGGAGGAGGAAGAAATCTTGGAAAAATCAACAGCAACGTCCGTTAGTACATCTAGTCCTGCATTTGAGTTGTTAACAACTGGTGAAAGGCAAGAAGATGATACGTTTTCGGAGAATTCGTTGAAAATTTCTAGAGCTAGAAGAAACGAGGAGAGGATATCATCGAGGATCAACTTTCCTATCAAAAGTCCTTCTAATGATTACGATATTGGATCGAAGAATCGAGACAAATCCCTGATAGCAACGAAACAGAAGAAGAAAAATAGCATTAAAAGATCGAAATGTAGCAAAGATGTTGTCGAACGTTCTTCCCCCTCAGTTTCTCTAAATAAAAAATCTATAAATAAATGCAAAAACAAGTTTGAATTGAACGTCGATGAATCGTCGACCTCTGTAAAATCAGCTACCTTCGATAAGAAAGATTTGAAAAAGAAGTTGAATTCTTGTAGTTTCGAAGTAAAACTTGAAGATAATCACGAAAATCGTGCAAGTGGAAAAAAAGATAAAGGAAGAGAAGGAGGATCCATGATACCAAGACCTTCGTCTCATAATCGAATTAAACGGGAAATGATAGGTCCTGTTAAATCGCAAAACGAAGAGAACGGTATATCGTAACAAAAAATTATTTACAAACTTTTAATCCGGCCTGTATTTAAATGAATAAATGATAAAACTATGTCATCGAATGAATTTGTTGTATGTTTATTAACTTGTTTCTTTCTTTATTATTCTTTCAGGTCGCGTTCATTCGGCTATCGTCTCTGGTGTCAATTGGGAGCAACGTACCGTGACTGTAGAATGGTTCGAAAAAGGAGAAACCAAAGGAAAAGAGGTAAGTCATTATTTTGTTCATTTTCAATATGTCCCCAAATTCTACTCCCCTTAAAATAATGAATTTCAATTGCGCGCACCTATTAAGTTAAGCACCTATTGAACAACTTGGATCTCTTTTATAGTGGGGTTAACATAATAATGTTGAAGCAATTGAATTTGTATAAATTATGAGAAATAGAAAAATCGTAGGTCACGGTTATTCGCACTATTTTTGAATTGATGCTTACGCAACAGCGACGAACGCAATAGCATGCACTGCTAATGGGAACGTGAGTCTATTTCCGACAAGCTTCAAAGCTACTTCGATGTGATTTCTTCTGAGCTCGATTAACAGGTTTCCTGTGATATTTCTCTATACGAGTATCATAATTGATTAGAAAGAAAATAAATCAATTTCGGTAGAACGCGTTAATCATATAATGCCTTATATGCCGAGTTTGATACCACGCCGAAAGGTAAAACGCGTGTCATTTCAATTCATTATCTAAGCTTTTTTCAATATGGAAGAAGAATCCTTTTCATCTAATTTGTTTTCATTTGTATTGATTTTAGGTGGAGATCGATGCGATTCTCGCCTTGAATCCGGAATTAAATAAAAAGACGATGGGACCACCGCAAATGAATAATGTGGTAGAATTAGTAAAGGTACGTTGACATTTATTATTATTATTATTATTATTATTACAATACTTATAGAATTTATGGCCGATTTTTCAAAAATATTATATTAGGGAGTAGGATGTATAATGTTATTAGTTCTAGTGAAAGGAATGAAGTAACCATTTATTATTGACTGTCAGAATCGAATTCTGTTTACTCGTTGCCTGGGATACGTATATAATATCTCTCTTGTGAAAAGAATAGCATGGTTCTTCCTCTTTTAACCGATAAAGTAACATTAAGGATCGGTCCTAAGCATGTTTCAGTACATGTATGTTCTTCAGGTAGGATCGTTCATCGTTCAGTATTTAAATTTCGCCAGTTTTCATTGAATTTTACATGAAATACTCGTGTACAAGCTTGATGATTCATCCTACTTCCGGTCACTAATCCGGTTTCTAATGCATCTACGCGGAGTAATAATATTTTGTTTAAAAGTTGAAACCGATATCACAGTGTTCGTAACGTGTAATATTTTTCTCTTTTGTTCTTTCACTCATATTATATGTAACTTCTTAATTTGTACTATTCTACGGATGTTACGCAAAAGAGAAAATTAGTTTAGATTGAAATTTACATGATGACATGAAATGACATGTATTTTTGTAGAGGCTTAGGGACACAAAGTGAAATGTTCCTTTTCCTTATTTCTTTTGTTTTCTCGACAAATCCTTCCTCTCCCCCTCTTGACCAAGTCCAAGTTGTAACGTGCGAGTAGTTCCATCATTCATGTTACTAACATCGCAACATCTTTTTTCCTTCATGGACGCTGCTCTTCTTAACCATGGATCTGTGTGTACCGATGGATGGATCGATCGTCGACCTCGGAAATCCGCTCCGGAATAAAAATGAAATAAATCATTTTCTCGCCGACGTATCGGCGACGTCTCATCGACCCATTTATAAAACGTTCAATTTTCATTTTTCTTTTCCTTTATCTTCCCCTTTTTTGTGCCAAGCAAAACGTATAATATACACACACGTACACACACGTACACACACACGCGCGCGCGTGATAAATAAATAAAAACAACGAACACAGGACTCTTCCGGCGAGGAGGATGAGGGGGTTGACGAATTGGAAAATCAGGAAGAAGGTTCACTCGGACGACACGGTGGTGGCGGTCACACCGCAAGAAATGGCCTTACATCCGCAACGCTTCCTGTACGAGTCACATCTCGTCTTTCGGTAACGCGCACTCCTCCTACCCCTAAACATCTCTAATTCCTCCTTCTTTCCTATACATATATTCTTTATATATTCTTCATATATTCTTTCTCTTTATTACACGGAAGCACTATTTTCAACTTTACACTATTATTCTCCCTTTCATTCAATAATAATCTCTTCCTTATATTTATTACCACTGGAATGATGGGTACTGGAACTTTCTCAGAAACAACGTATACATACACAAGCAATATATGTATCATACACTCGGCATGAACAAAAAAAGAAATTCATTCAAAAGTAAATATGAAAAAAGAAAAAAAGAGAGAGAACGTTTTTTTATAGCACCGGCCGCCGCCTCTTTTTTTATTTCGAGAACAAACTTTGTATTATTTCTATAAAGTTTGTTGCTTTGCTTTCTTTTTTCAAGAGGGCATTAAACCTAATCTTACGATAATATCATTAACGTATCTTTTTTTTGTTTATTTTACAGTACTCCTCGAGGCCGTCGGTTCCAGTTAAAGGTACGTTTTATTAATCCTTGTTGTCGTCGTCGTCGTCATCATCATCATCGAGTCCAATATAGAAACTATTAATCTCAAATGTTGAAAGTCTTTTCGCGTGAATATCCAACATGACAAAGTTTTTAGTGTGGAAAAACACGTTCGATAAGTCAATTCGGCTGACCTAACACTGCATTTACGGTTGTATGCACCATCGTTCTCTTCATGTAGAATGAAGCCGGATATTACGAATACAAGAACGTATGTTAGTAAGTGTGTCGCGTGTGGCCAGGCAGGCATAAACTCATACATAGAAAAGTATCGATATTCGTAGCCTATATGCTAGAACACAAGGGCAAGGACCCCAGAACTTTCAGTATAGCGTATACGTTGCTAGCAGTCGAGTGGTTCGTTCTTAGCTGCTCACTCTTCGGACTTTTCATTTATTATTTCTTTTTTTTATAAAAGTTATTCAATAAACTTTCATAATCATGAGATTTGATCCTCTATTGTACTGTTTCAAAAGAAGAAACAAAGTTGTCTGCGAAAGATTTAGAAATGATAATGATCAAGTACTTCATTTGGAGATCGATGATGGTAAGACGAATGTATTCGTTCATTTTTCATGAAAAGAAGTAAAAAATCACTTATTTAAAGTTATCAGAATAACTTTTTTAATTTCCCTTTTTTTCTTCTAATATAGTAAATAAATCAAATGATTATTTCAGTGAATACGAGACAAACATCACGACAAACAGGTCGACCGACAAACATTATGGCTCCAGTAACGTCAGTAAATGGTCATGGTGATTCTGTTTCTGGATTGACGGGAAGACGAGAATTAGAGAATATACCACCACCGGCACCGATGACACAGTTAAATCTTACGAGTGTCCCTCAGAGTAAGCAAAAGCAAGCTCAGTTACAACAACAGCAGCAACAGCAACAGCAACAACAACAACAACAACAACAACAACAGCAAGCACAACAGCAACAACAAGCACAATTAGAGAATGGTAGAGGTAGACGATCCAATGTCGTTAAGGAAGTAGAAAGACTGAAAAAAAATAGAGAAGAAAGGAGACAACGCCAGGCAGAACTTAAAGAAGAAAAGGAAGCTCTGATGAATTTAGATCCAGGCAATCCTAATTGGGAATTTCTTGCCATGATTAGGTTAGCTAAATGAAAATTTAATGAATAATTTCGTTACTAGAGATAAACGATTGAACGATTGATAAAAATGTTCATTCATATTTCAGAGAATATCAGAATAGTATAGAATTTCGGCCATTGCGAGAAACTGATACCGTTGAGGATCATCAGATCACTGTATGCGTGAGAAAACGACCATTGAATAAGAAAGAAGTGGCACGTAAAGAAGTCGACGTGATCAGTGTGCCCAGTAAAGGTCAAATGGTAGTCCACGAGCCAAAAGCCAAAGTAGATTTGACGAAATATTTGGAAAATCAGATTTTTAGGTTCGATTATGCGTTTGACGAAACATGTAACAATGAGATAGTCTACAAATACACAGCAAAGCCATTGGTACAGACGATTTTTGAAGGTGGTATGGCTACATGTTTCGCCTACGGACAAACTGGTAGTGGAAAAACACATACTATGGGTGGTGATTTTAATGGTAAAACGCAGGACTGTAAAAAGGGTATATACGCTATGGTTGCTAAGGATGTCTTCAAATGTCTTAAAATGGCGAAATATCGTCCATTAAATCTCGTTATCTCTGCTAGTTTTTTCGAAATCTATTCTGGAAAAGTGTTTGATCTCTTGGCGGATAAAGAGAAGTTGAGAGTATTAGAGGATGGGAAACAACAAGTATGGCAGCTGTGTTAATTAATAAATCTTATTCAAATCAGTCAGTATATTGAATAAATATAAGAATAAATATGTAATATTAATGACTTTGTTCTAGGTTCAAATAGTTGGACTAACGGAAAAAGTAGTAGAAACGTGTGATGAGGTATTAAAATTGATACAACATGGTAACAGCGCTAGAACGAGTGGTCAAACCAGCGCAAATTCCAATTCTTCGAGGTCACACGCGATATTTCAAATAATAGCAAGAACCTCGGGTACGCACAGAGTGCACGGAAAATTTTCTCTAGTTGATCTTGCTGGAAATGAAAGAGGCGCCGATACTTCTTCAGCGAATAGGCAAACGCGTGAGATTTTTTTCTATATATATATTATGCGTGCGTGCGTGCGTGCGTGCGTGCGTGCGTGCGTGTATTATTTTACATATATGAATTTGGTGTCATCAATTCGGCACAGGTATGGAGGGTGCTGAGATAAATAAATCCTTGCTAGCGTTAAAGGAGTGTATTCGTGCTCTAAGTCGTAAAGGAGCACACTTGCCTTTCAGGGCAAGTAAATTGACTCAGGTGTTGAGGGATAGTTTTATTGGTGAAAAATCCAAAACTTGTATGGTTAGTCAAATTTCCTTCTATTATATATTAAACGTTTATTGTAAACCTGTTGTATATCAAGAAGAAAATGTCATTTATAGATAGCGATGATTAGTCCTGGTATGAGTTCTTGCGAGCATTCATTAAACACATTAAGGTACGCGGATAGAGTAAAGGAATTAGCTGCAACTGATCCATCGGAAATCAAAGTTTCACCTACGGACGATGATCGAGGACTGAAGATAGAAGAACAGGCTAACAATAGCGTTCTTTCAGACAGTGATCTTGCACAACTTCGATCTTTGAATGTGAGTACTGTAACTATTATTTTGTCCCTATTGTTGTAATCAGTGAAGGAATCAGTAAAAAATAAAAAGGAATATCTTTGCGATTTAATTAGGAAGGTGAACTTTCGCAAGACCTCTATACTTTTCACGAAGCAGTTTCTGTTTTACAAATGTTAGAAGAGGAGGTATTAGATACACACAAAATGGTAATGGACAACTCGACCAGATTTCTCAATGAAGCACACAGTGTATTCAGTGCAACACACGAAGTGGACTACGATCAAGAAGGTAAGGTCTTTTTTTTCACATAAGCATGAACCGTTTCTATGTTTACCACGAATATGCTCCCATAAGTTAATTGTTGTTACTCCATTTTATCTTGAAATTGAATAGAAAGAGCCGTTAGTTAATAATGGCAATAAACATACTGAAGCGTACGAATAAGGTGTATCGCTTTCAAAGTTCAGCATGAATTTATATTTGTGTTATTAATAGTAATAATGCACTAGCATTAGCTTTGTGAAATGCAAAGAAATTCTTTGATGTTTTATTCTTCGCTTTTCCTCTTTATTTTTTCTTTTCTTTTCCCTTTTAAGTGAGAAATTAATTACTCTTAAGGTTACAAACAGAAAAAAGTATGTTTTTCGTTTCCCATCTAAATAAAAACCAAAAAAAAAAAACAAAACAAAAAAAAACGAAAAACTTTGTACTATCACAGTGTGTGGCGTTTTATAACAGATTCGCGCTCTAAGACTAAGGCGAATTCAATCTTCACGTTAAACCGGAGCTGGGGAAGCAACAATACGACATTAAATGCAACGATTTTGATAAACGACAGTACGAACGACTCTTCAGATAACAATATACAACGGGATGATTTGTATGCAACCAATAAAACAAGTATCAAGAATTCACTGAAATTTTCTTCAAAGGACGAAAGAAAATGCAAAAGCTATACGAGTCCCAACTCTACCGATGATGATGATGATAATGATGATGATGATGATGATGATGATGATGATGATGATGATAATGATGAGATAATTAATAGTCAAATGACACTTGTAAAATCTAATGAAAGAAACAATAAAAGTACAGGTTCCGTTACAGTGAAAAAAACGATTAATAAAGAGTCGTCGTTGTCGTCGTCGTCGTCGTCGGTGGTAAGATTTCGTTCCACAAAATCGAGCGTAAATCAACGTTCTAAATGGACTGCGCCTGGAAAAAAGAAAGCATCGAAATATCATTGGTCTGGAACTTTTTCCGATAGATCTAAAAAATATAAACAACTTTTTAATGATAGAAAATACAAATATTTGCCACGTGATAGTAATAAAAATTTATGCGACGCATTGACTACAACAACAACAACTTGTAACAATAATTCTAATATTTTCAAAGATAAGAAACCATTGACAAATACAAATATATTTCATTCAAATGAATTTACTTTTAATGACCAAGTTTTGTTGAAGGGTATCGAGAAAACAGATAAACAATTATTCAATAATAATTATCATCAGTTACCCATCAACTGTCATACAGAAGAATTGGACTCGCATAATAATATGAAATCTGATCAGGATAATAACAGTAAAGAAGATATATGTTTGAATTATGACATTTATTCTGATCGTAATATAAATTTGAGATGCAAGCTGCTGGCGCAAGAGGATGACAAACCAAATACTAGTACAAAAAATGTACAGAAGAATGACTTTTATGTATCTAATAGCAATAATCATTTCGCCGAAGATAACAAACTTGCTTCTTCTATTAACGTTCAAGAAGATGATCTAGTATCTTGCAATATTTTTGAATGTTGCAGAAGCTCGGCAAAATGTTGGGTCAATTTAAAATTTAAAGATAAAACGTCTCATTTGAACAAACAAGCTGCTGGCTCTCCTATTTTTCAACCATTTTACAGAAAATTATTAACCTTTATCTACATTGTTATTAAAAATATAATTTTACTTTCATTCTTGCCTACCGTTTATATTGCCTTTATTATGTATGTACAAAATAGGCAAGAATGAGAGTAGTGTATAGTTATTAATTTGAGCAAAGAAATCTTCAAATACTATCGTTTAAAGTCAATGAAATTATATTAAATTACTAAGCGATAAACAAATAATAATATGATTATAATATCGACAAGTAATTGAAATATAATATGAGTACAATTGGAATGCTTCGGCATATCTTTTAATTTAATAACTAAATAGAAATTTTGAGCATTTGACTTTTATAATTAAGTTCAGTTGCTGCATGCACGTGAATATGTTTGTGTCTTTTTTTTTTCTTCTTCTTCTTCTTCTTCTTCTTCTTTTCCATGGATAACAATAACAAGATAAATTTATAGTTTTCTTATAAGTTACATTCCAATTTTGTACATGGATCTATTTATGTGTGATGATTACATTTACATTTGATATAAGATGTTTAATTAATATATTTTTTTTTATTTTATATACCGAAAGAAGCATGTTATTGTAATACGACGATATTATTAACAATACGTTTTACAAAATCTTATAAAGAAAATAATATTTGTAAACCGTATGTATGTTATGTTATGAATATTTATTTCAATTCATTCCAGAAAATGCACTATCATATAACACTTGATATTATTTACCATCAAACTTAAACATTTGCAGCAAAAAAGAAAAAAAGAAAAAAAGAAAATGAATTAGTTATTAGAACGAAATACAACAACTTAATCAATGTATAAATTGAAATCGACAATTTGAAAATAATAGACTAGAGCTTATTGACTAAAATGCCAGAACACTTACAGATTTCAGAAGGAAAAGAACAAAGTTTGAGTCACCCTACCTAAGGAGCTTCTCGTTGCATAGGCGTCTGATAGAAAGAAAACTATTTTCGGATGGTACGATAATATGCGATAAACAATTCTATATAAATATCACAAAAAGCAGCTTGCCATTTATACACTCGTATATAAAATGCACATTATAATTATACATATACTAATTACATATGCTCCGCGAAATAATCATTATGTCGGTGAACTCGATGCCAATTTAATCTAGTGTTGTCAATCCCCAAAAATAATGTTTTTTAACGATACTCAATCAATCTTTCGTGGTATGCAACAAATAATGTGAAACATTTTGAAGAATAAACTCAACTTTTTTCTTTTCTCTTATAATTTAGTCTCTCCTTTTATTGCGCAGCATTCTGCAAGATTGTTCAGTGCATTTTCATGAAATTAATCTTCTTCCTCTCTATATAAGCAAAAAAGCCACTGCTACACACACATACACGAAAAGGTAAATTATTTTCAAATTATTATTGGTGCGTTGAAAAAGTAGCTATATGTATTCTTTAATTGCCGATATATATTATTAATTTGTAATGTATACAAAATCAAGATTATTGTTAATAAATATTATTTTTGTGTGGATTACCTGAATAATAGCTATATTTTCTTTGTGCTAATTCAATGTATTTTAATAGAATAATGAAAGGACTTTTGTGTTCTCCTTGCTGATGATATAAAAAATGAAGAAGAATCAAACAAAAATAACGCTTTAATCATCCTATTAATGAAAATAATTCATTTGCTTTAAGATTAATCATCATAGCTACTTAGATGTTCAATAATGACGCAACCCTGACTAAAAAAGCAAAATATGTAAGATATGAAGAGTGAAATTTACATACATTTGTAATATGTAATAATCTGGAGTGTCACAAAGGGTTGGTTCTCTGCCAAATCATCCAGAATATCATCTTTGTGATAAAAACTTTTAACTCTGAACTTCCTACCTTCATTGTTAGATTTATAATAGTTGTAGGCTGACAGATATAAATGTTATCTGTTACAGCGTATGCCCAGAAATGGGAGCAGTTGTTGGTGCAGCAACGTGACAGCCTGAACGCTGCATTGGACCAAGTCAGTCAATTTCGAAGCCAGTTACTGCAAGAAGAACAAATCAGTCAGAAGATGACGCGAACGCGCAACTTGCGATATAATTAAAGACGTAAAAATCTAAAAGCATACACTCATTACCGGAAGGAAGGAAGGAAGGAAGAAAGGAAGAAAAGACGCCAGCAAACAACTTGTAAAAGACGCCCACATCGTGTCCTCCTTATGTCAAGCGTGTCAACTCTTTCTACCCTTAGAAGAGTCGGAAATATAACAGTGTAATTTCATCGTCTGAGATTAGCACAGTTACCTGACGACTGTATACACATATTTATCGACGACACACCTTTCTTGCCTTTTGATATAAGAACAAAAATATTCTCTTTTTCTACCTATCTTTCTCTCTTATTTCTCTTTCTTTCTTCTCTCTATTTTATTCCAAATAAAATCAAGAGAAGGGATTTCTATTTTTTAAAATATCAGTAGAAGAAAAACGATATAAATATTATATATATATATTAAAAAGAAAGAAGAAAAAAAAAAGACAAATCTTTTTGAAATATTTGCAGATTAACATTTGCAGTTTTTTCCAGGAAAAGAGAGACCGCCGATATTTGACTTTTAAACATCACATTTTTTTAGTCATTGGTAATGATACTTTGATGTTCCTTTAAGAATCATTAGTACTGATTATAGTCAGACTCTATACCACCATTTATATAGCTCATTGACGAGAAGAAATCTTGCAAGATTACAATAAAAGGAGCAAAGGATTCGAACACACACAAAACTAGAAATAACTTTTAATGTAACTGATGATTATTTTCAAGTGAAAACAGACAACACCCGTCCGATTGAATTAACAATGATTTTTCTTAACAAACCGAGAATGTTTCAAATGTTTGGATTAATTATCACCTTTTCTTCTCGATTTATATTTTATTACATACGCGTGCGTTTTTCATTTCCGTCCTTTTTTTTTGTTTTTTTTTTTTGTAATTATTTCTCGTTCAAAATGGTACGATCGTGTGTATACTTTTTTAAAAAAAGGTATATCGTAACTTCCACATCGATACAATAAATAAACATTACGAAGATCACAAGATATTTTTCACAATTATTATATAGATACATACTATAATATTTAACTGTCTCACACACACACACGCATTTGTTTATCTAAAATACTGTGATAAAGTAATTTTACTCATCTTGTTTCTTATATCGGTGAAAATTTGATCACTTTCGTTCTAATCCTCTTCCCCCCACATCAAACTAAATGAGCTGTATCAAAAGTTCGAAGATAGTCCTCGCTTGCTCCAAGACAAAATACAAAATAATAGTAGTATTATTATAATAATATAATTGAAAGAAAAAAAAAATTAAAAAAGACAAGAAATAAAAATGCTGGTGGTACTTTGTGTAGTGATTAGTAGAGTGGTTGATAAAATAACGCGTATGTACTGTACTAGAAATTAATCAATTAAAAATTCAAACAAAGTGATGCATAGAAATAAAATTCATATGTATTTAAGAATATATTATAACAGCTAAGAAGAAAAGGAAATAATAATAATAATAAATGCATTAAAAAAGTATATCATTTCGTTTAAAGAAGAAGAAGAAGAAGAAGAAGACGCAGGACGTTTGGTGTGTTACAAAACAGATTTCATTACAAATTAATTAAAAAAAAAAAAAAAACCCCGTACCATTATTATTGCAACTATTTTAGGAGAGCTATTATATAAATGTAGACATTAATAAAAATCCGAAAATAAAGGACAAATTGGAAATAACTACGAGAGAGAGAAATACGACAAATGCAGGTGTTGTGAAAGAGTGCGTGTACTTTTTCACACCATTAATTACTACCTACATTTAAACTTTAATCTTACGAGGAGCTTTTTTTTCACTGCAAAGATATATACATCTTGTATATTTACTTTTATCTTTGTTAGACCTTGGACAAATCTTACTGTGCAAAAGAATATAGTTAAGAGACAAAAATTGTATGTGGTTCTTAGTTAGACGAAGAAAAAGAGCATGTACTACGCAAGAAATATCATGGTGTATTTTGAACATATTTTATAGTAATATTATATATATATATATATCATTTTAATGAGTATATCAATACTTTTTATTAATTATTTTTATCTTTTCCACGCGCTCTCTCTCTTTCTCTGTATATACATATATATATATATATATCTGTTTATCTTTTCAGCATTATTATACAATATTTGTCAAGTACATGAATCTTATTTCCTTAATCAGAATCTTAAACGATTTTAAAAAGAAAATTGAAATTAAAATTGTAGATATATAGACATACATATACTGTCTATCGAACAATATGCGAGTCAGTTCATAAGATTTATGCTTATTATACCAAAATCAAGATTATCTCACTAGGATAAATATGTGTACACTTGTATTATGACGCAAAACACACACACACACATTACCTAGAAAATACATTGAATTAGATTCTAAGTATATTTTCGTGGGGGACCCAGTGTGTACTATTGGATAAAACTAAAGCAAGCCTTAGTGTATGAAATAGTTTGAAAATAGTTCGAAAACAATTCATAGAAACGAATGAAATAAACTTAATTACATAGATTTACACCTTACACATTTAAGTGATACTCGCGTTTAAACCAAATAACGACTGATTTCAAAAGTATAACAATTTAGGGAATAATAATGATAAAAAAAAAAAAAAACGGAACTTGTACGATGGTGAACCAAGATCATCAATTTCAAGTGTTTTAGTTTTTCCTCGTATTGCGATATTGCGAACGTATTTTTGTTCTTTTCTTTTTAATGTTTTTCTTTTTGCAAAAAAAGAAAAAAAAAGACTTTAAAGTAGTTAATTGTAAACATGCGTATCATGCTCTAATAGTTATCTCCTCGTCGTATATATTCCTTCGCTTACATTATACTTGCAGCCTTATCGCTCTCACAACAATCATTAATTATTAATAAATTATTTAATATTGTTTTTGTTTTTAAAAGCTTTTCTAGCATAAACCAATTGATGCATGCAAAAGGATGATGATAATCGCTCTTCAACTTATACATGTCACATTATTATACGTGTCATTACACTATAAATAATTTACAAGGAAAAAGAAAGATTATTTATAGTTAAGTTTGCAAAAATATTTAGAAAATTTCTGCTGCTGAACAAAAAAAGCATATTTCTACTAAATATTTCCATGTATTATATATATATATCAGCTTTTACAAACACCATAAGAATTGATGTTTGACAGAGTCAAAATGAAGAATACATATAAAAAGATGATGATAATTTATTGAATATTGTATTTTTTGTTCTTTTTTGTTTTTTTTTGTTTTTATTTGAAATAGGAACAATAAGTATTTATTATCTTATTGATTCTACCAGGCGCTAAGTGTTAACAAAAAACAAATTTGAGGTGTATTATTAGGTCGAATGTCATTGTAGGCGCTTAGTATTTTCGTCGATTTAATAGAGATTTCGTATTTTTAATACCAGATCCAGCCGTACATTCTTAATGCCGTATTACGTAAAATTAAGGATTCTATATATATATATATGAAAAAAAAAGATGAATTAGACAGAAGTCAAAATTGGCTAAATGTAACTGATGAAATGTGTCTCTGTCTATTAAAAGAAAAAGAGAGAAGAATAAAAACAAACAAACAGCATAGTACAGAAGTTTCTGAAAGAAATGTTTTATGTATAAGTAGTAAACGTATATATTGATGATATAAAAGCTTACTAGCGAGAAATGTTAACGTTTTATTTTTTATAATCAAATAATTTATGAGAAAGAACAATTACGAAATAACAATATACAAAATTCCGAATAATATCATATGCATTTAGTCAACTTCTGAGCAGTTTTAATCGATGTACACAAAATTCAATATATGTGTACATCCATGTAAAACAGAGTTTTCACGTTGTTGCTTAATGAATAAAAAAAAAAAAAAAAA